AGTGTAAGCAATTATTATTATTATTATTATTATTATTATTATTATTATTATTATTATTATTATTATATACAGTTACCAAGCACAACAAAAGCTTGGCAATGTAAGAAACATGTATGTATTGCATACATTAGAGTCATTCTATTATCTCAAATTCCAACAGTATAATTCTTTGCCTGCAGGACCTTCTACAGTATACACTCACGTTTACTTGAGCTGCTCTATGGACTATAAAACCAAGCTGAAATAATGGAAGTTTTAAGTTGATGTTTGTATAATAAGTATTTTGATACCAGAACAGTAATCGCTTGTTATATTGTTTCTTTGATTCACCTTATTGATATCGGTAGAATAATATCCTAAATTCTATGAATATTAATCATTAATGTTAATGTATTTTCCCCAACAAAAGATACACAAACTTTCTTCTGTTAAGAATGGAAAAAAAAATCTTTATTTGGTTGAAGACATGCTTGCCACACATCTATAGATAGAAGTGATCCGTTTCCTGTTGGTTAGGTTTCTGGAAGAGCCTCCACTGCTCCCTTTACTCAATGTCAGTATTGCTTTCTTGCCAAGAATTGCAGAACCAGATAATTTTTCCACAATTATGCATAGTTCAGTCTAGGTGGGACTGCATATGGGTGGTGGTGGAGGGGAGTCCCCATTACCTGTAAAGCGCTTTGAGTGGAGTGACCAGAAAAAGCGCTATATACAGTAAGTTTAAGCAATTATTATTATTATTATTATAGGTCGGGCATCGTTATCCATACACTTCTAATGCAACAAATCATGGTGGAGTCCACCTGCAAACTGAATGAATTGTAAATGATAAGTTAAAACAGTTCTGATCTGCTGTCTTATTAATCCTGTAAGAGAAGCCTGCTCTGTCTTTTATACTAAAGTGTTATGTGAAAGCCACAGTGTCATGCCATATCATGCCAGTGAACCTGGCCTTCAGATTGTCCTAGGTGGAAATCAAAACTGATACAGTGGCTCAACTGTAATGGAAACTCCTTATCTCCCACTGTCCCTTAATCTTATGATGAAGACTGCAATTCTACATTGATTAGTTTTTAGTTGCTGGAAGCCAGATCACCAGATGGATGGCTTTTCTTTCATCTGCCTTAATTTCTTTTCTTGCAAGTTTGTGGATTTAATTTTTCACACTTACTAATGACTGAAGAAAGAGCTTATTAGAAAACAGGAGGAGTGGCAAGGGAGCAAAATAGTTATGCTGTTCCCTAAAGACCTTTTGGCAAAACACAGGGCCAAAGCCTGCACAACACTTCCATAATTCCCTGGCTACAGAAAGTCTGAGAAGACAGTGTAGCACTTTCATATAAGGAAAGATCTTACCAGAATATTGATACATTTCCACAAGACTTTAAACTCTTTATTTAGATATATTTGAGAATTATATTCACAAATGTATCTAAGTAAATGTATATTCAAGATATATTCTAAATCTAATGATTTTTTAGGCTCATCATGCCACTAATCAACTATATAAACAGCTTCAAAATGTACAGCTGTGTCGCTTACATCCTGATTTATCACCATATAATTCTTTAAGATTATAAAGCTGCAGCAATGCAGAAGGATTTTCCAGCACTGAAAACTTAATTCCAGACTAGTCTTTAGAAGTCATTGTTGTGAATCTGTATGAAATTCTTTTGTTTAGTTTATTAGAAGTTAAGCCAAGAGATTTAACTGAAAAACATAAGCTGATGGTCATTTAATTATTTTTTATTAAAAGCAACACATTCTTGATATTAGGCTTTCATCTTAAAACAAAATTCAAAACAATGATTAGTTGTTGTGTGGGAAAGTTTGAGAAAGATTAGAGAGAGAGAGACTCAGGATTTTCTTTCCTTAACTCTCAGTTATAATATTCAGAGTTCAAATACGGTGTATTGCGGAAGGCGAGATAATGCCCAATTTACAGTACATTCACATCACACTGATTTTACACTATTTAGAACACAGAATATCGAAAAATACTTGGAGAATAATATCAAATAAGAAAGCTGTTTCTCCTCTGAAAAAGTTGCACTAAATCTACACAAACTGGGTTTAGATTAGTAATGTCTGCTACCATCTTGGTAATTTCATAACAATGATTAATGGATATGAGGGATTGAGTAGCTGTCCTGTCTCCTGTGCTGGAGTTTCCTTGAGAGACGTCTATAGCTCCTTGTGAGGCTGGTGCACAGATCTCTGGACTGTGAGTACTCTAGTTTACCTGCTCCATATGAATCAGTTTTTGTAGCTACTAGACGTATATGGATATGCAAGTGTATAAATATAAAGATGGAAGTGCAGTAAAGGAACAGTGAAAGTGGCAGTCAATACTATTATTTTGTGTACACGTTGAACTTCCATGTTGTCGAGTACATCTGACATCTTTTTCAACATTCAGAAGGGTCTTCAGGTTTGTACCAAATTGGGATTCACTTCAGAGAAGGAATTCCATTCACATGACCAGAGGCCTAGCCAAATCCTTCTCTTTGTTTTATTTCAAAGCAAAACTGCAAGTCATGGTCTATATTCTGGGTGAACAGTGATTTCACTAGAGGAACAGGATTTTTAAATATATTTTGAATCACAGCCAAATTAGACTGTGAATCATAATGTTGACTTATATTATGAATAGGGGGTGCTGAGGTTTTGGAGTTGGGGTGTGGGTAGGATGCTATTTTTATATGAAATTACTTATTGAGTTAAAAGCTGTAAAGGCATTAGGAAGGATTGCCATCTTCTGGGAGATAAAACAGAGTTACAATGAAATGCATCTTGTTGATCAGTGTAGAATTATGCATTTCTCAAAAGCTACAATGTGAATGCTAAACTAATAAAGTATATCAATAAGCATTAAAAATGCAACAAATGAGACATACAACCAATAGCATGTGTTGCATTTTTAATGCCCCTCTACATCTTTGGTTCTGATACATTAAAAGTACATTTTCAATATTGTAAGTATCACATATCAAATATCACTTGTTTCTAATTGTAATGATTCATACATTAAATGTCTGACTGCTTTCCAACAGACTAAATGGCCATAAAGCCAATGCAGGCCCTGAGAGGCAAGTCTTTCTTCCATAGCTACATGGAAAGATTAAACTGGTAATGCTAAAAATGATTTCAAAAAGACCAATATTCAGATTTCATGACAATAACAAAATGTGTGAAAGTTATCTCTTCACAGTAAAAAATGGTTTGAAGTGTGGGCAAAACAGCTTATACACATTATTGCATTTTTTTATTTTCATAAATGATATTGGCTGTATTTTCCATTAGAACTCCTTCTCTGTGATGGAGAATGAGTGGAGAACTGAGGGAACGTTTGTGTGGGGCTAGATGGCTAGGGGTATTAACTTATAGACATTTCTGAAGTATAGATTCCTAGAAGCCATTGACCATAGACCACAGCATTTGCACCTTACCTGCACAAGGTAAGAATGTAAGATAACTTGCAAACAAAGAGGCTGTTCTGGCAATCTGGCTTGTTTGCTTGCCAGTAGCTAAATTGTCCAGGGATTCCATTCAGTCATTTCTTAATAGAATCCAAGGTGTCCACTGCACCAACATGGCTGGGAAGCTTATTCCCAACTCCAACATCCCGAAGTGCCTCCTGATATCAGTGAAAGCTGAGGACTAAAAGCATGTTCTCTTTACTTTTCATTTGCATCCTCTGATCCATGTCTCGCCGTTGATTGGTCGGACTCTGTGTCACAGACTTTGGGGATTTTATGTGTCCGAATCAGATCCCTGTAGGAGGAGGGTAGATGGAGGATCGTATCTGAACAGAATTCTCCAGAGGGCTGTAGGAAACGGCCTTCCTCTCTTTCTCCCCTGATCAGTGACATCAGGGCCAGAGGAAGGTGTCTGTAAAATAAATGATTAAAGACCAGGAGGCGGAGACATCTTGAGCTCCTAATCTGTGATCCTGTTAAAACAGCATCCATCCATTTTCTAACACTTTATCGAGCACAGGGTCGCTGAGGAGCTAAAGCCTAACCCAGGAAGCAACAGGTGTAAGGACAGGATGCCTTTTGTATGCTGTTACTCAATGATTCAATTTTATAACCCTTTAAACTATATTTGAGCTACATTACACAAACATGAAATTCACTGGCCAAGACTCCAGTGATTCAAAAAGAACATTTTCAGTAAACGGAAAGCAAGGTATAGGCAAACAGGGTGAATCGAAAGGAAAGAGTTTAAGTACACCCAATACAATTAATATCACAACGTTTTATTGTGACCTAAAAGATAGATAGGCCGGGCACAATCACTTCATAAAGTTTTTTTTTTCCTCTCGTCTTGCAGATTGGGGCAAGTATAAATCTGGACCGCGGATAAGAATCCTAAATCTGGCAAGCACAACGAGCACACAACTCCTCCTGATATTTTTAACCAGCACCGAAACCGGGGTATCTTGGTAGACACGGTGCAGATTCACCCCCCCCCCCCGAGCTTGAATCATGTGACAAGCGTCGCCTACTCGGTTTCCGCGGCTGGTGCGCCTGCGCGGAGTGGGAGGCGGGGCGCCAGAGAAGCAGAGAGGGTGCTCGGAGTGTGGTGTCTTCGAGCTGGTCGTCTGGCGTAGTCCGAAAAAAGAAAAAAAGGGGGAAAGAGAAGCCCGTCATACACCGAAAACCACGAAAGGCTGATTCGAAACATCTTCGTTTTGTTCTCATTTAGATTTTTTTTCATTTCCTCCACTTTTTTTTTAAATCCTCAGCGGTTCTGCTCGACAGCGTTTTTGTTATCCCAGAGGGTGTCCGATTTCCCCTCCTCTCCAGAGGCATTGCGATGCCCTCTGACTTCATAGCCCTGCTCAGCGCCGATCTCGACCTCAATTCCCCCAAATCCCTCTATTCGAAAGGTAACGGTTCTTTTCCGATTTACGCGGTGAATGCCTTTGAAGTGCTCTGATCTCGGTGCCTGTGCATCGCTTGCTCACCCTGCACGGTGCGTGTGCGTGTGTGTGTGTGTGCAGTCGTGTTTTGTTTTCTTATCCGAGGGGTGGTGTCACAGTTTCTCCGCGCTGCTCATCTCGGTAAAGGCCGCACGCTTAGGTGGCTCCCCCTGACGTGACATCCAAATGTTCAGTTAATTGCATCGTTTCTTGGGCTCAAACTGCAGGCCGGCATTTCTGACGCGCTGGGAAAGACGGAGTCGTGTCAGTCTTTTGGCCCTGTTCCTTACCGAGGGTTCAAATGCCGCTTTGCTTTTTGCAAGTAGTGTATTTTTCTCATCTGCTCTTCTTATGGGAGGTCTGGGTTCAGGACTCTTGAACATTTTGTTTGCCCATTTCCCCTCAAAAATGTGTTTTTATATTTATCGCCGTGCGCTGTAAATCCCCGTCCTTTTTGAGCAAACAGGCCTGGGAACTTAGGCGGTGAAATTTCGACTTTCTATCAGCCGGAAAGCGTCTGCAGGTGGTATATAACGCTGAGGGATGAGAGCGGAGGTTGTAAATGCAGCGTGTGTAGCTCAGTTGTTAGCCGGAGGCAGTGTTGGTATCGGCGCATCGTGTGCTGCTCTAAGACAGCTGTGTGTGTCTGTGCGGATTAAATGTTTATATGTCGTCTGCGTGGTCGTGGCGATGTACGCGGCTCAGAAGCTGTACCGTCGGGAGGTACGAAAATAGTTTGAAACCCCGGCGTGTCTGACGGCACACACCTGTGACACTCGGCTCACCCCGCTGTAAGCTGTAAGCCGTAAGGCGAAGTGCGCAAATGGTTCCTCTAGTGAACTAGAAAGCGCCTCTTGCCGATCTTCACTTCTCAAGAGCGGTACCGGTTGACAGTTCTGGTCGTTGAGTTGAATCTGGGCAATTCGGTGCAGTCCGGCGGCGCTTGTCTGATACTAGACACTGTGACCACCGAACAGCTTTCATAAAGGCCTTTAAAGGTCCTGAGCACCCTGCTTTCCTTTAAAGATGTGTTTAACATCGGTAATTTAAAAGGGAGTATTGTTAGACACTGAAAAGGTTTGGTTTGCAAATTGTATTATTTACGAATACACCGCTAGGTATTAAGGCATATAATGGGACGTGCTTGTAATATCTTGCTGGAGGTTTGCCCTCTCGTGTTCATGGATGAACTAGGATGGGGTTAGACTTTGCCTGTATCGTGTTCTTCTTATTCCTCCTCTCATATGGTTTGATGTCGTCGTCGTTGCTCGTACGTTTAAGTCACCATTGTTTATGTAGTAAACAGTCTGGGGCGGTTTGTCTCAGTTTAGGTTAGGGCGAACTTCCTCAGGTTTCCGGAGGACAAATGCAAGCCTGCAAGCCTGCAAGCGCTGGACAGCCATCTGCTGGTGTGAAGGTCACTCTGTACCTTAGTTAAACCACACCGAATGTGTTCGGTGACGTTCCCAAATTTTTTGACTATTGTAAGACTGTTGCAGTGAGAGTAGTTCTAAAATAGTTAATTTGCTGGAGATTTGAAGTTGTGGATGGAAAGAGTTTAACCATGCTCTTCAGGGAGCTGTTCTAGATGGAACATAACTCCCCCTTATGAAAGGTAAAATATTTCAGTGTTCCTTGTGCCCCCTTTTTCGTGTGTGAGAGATCATGCCAGAGGTGTGTCTGGTTTCACCATGTGACCTGGGCTCAGCGTGGGCACAGCAGGAATGTGGATTCCAGCCAGTGCTTGTGTGTGCCATACCATTTCACCCACCCACTGCAGAGCTAACTTCGCAGCTCTTGTAGCTACAGAAACCGTTTAGGGGGGTTTCCTTTGAAGATCCTTAAAAACTGTTTTTGTGAAAGTCATTTTGTACCTTAATGTTGCAAACCTACAAGTCACGTAGTTATCCATCAAACCCTGAGCTCAGTGGTTTCTTGCAACTTAAGTACAGCTGTGAACTAATGGTGGCTACTTACTGTGCCGTTCCCTTGTCTGTTTGCTCGTGGAGATCATAGGTATTGACAGGTGACACAACATGAACATTTAGAATGATTATTGTTTGGTATTGGCACAATGGGTGGGGTGACTAGAAAAATCACTGGAAAAAAAATTCCCCTGCTCCACATAAAGTCCGCACTGTTGTAATTCCTCTCCAGCATATCTAAGATTTTGATTTGTTATACAGAGGTGGAAATACAAATACGGCCTCTTCCATTCTAACAGTAGCAAGGAATGAAAGGGTGCTTTTTTTTGCACAGTTTGCAGCAATCCACACAGGAGAACTGGAAAGTCTTCACTTTCCAAAGCCAGACATGTGCACTGGTGCAGTGGCTAATCAGAGTGGTGTCTGTGTTTCCTCCAGGAGCTCCGGTTTCCTCCCACAGTCCTAAGACATTCTGGTAGGTTAATTGGCTTCTGGGGAAAAACTAGCCCTGGAGTGAGCGTTTCTGTGTCTGTGTCTGAATGTGCCCTGCGATGGGCTGGCGTCCTGTCCAGCGAGCACCCTGCCTTGCTCCTGTTGTTTGCAGGGATAGGCCCCCGCTCCCCCTTGACCCTGAATTTGCAGAAGCATTTAGAAAATGGATGTTTAAAAATAAACTCCAAAAGTGGAGTGATATAGACTGCCAGAAACACACCTGAAGTATTTATTACAAACTGACAGTGTCATAGACTGCTACCTGCAGCAACATTATTGATATAGTTCTACAAGGTGTTAGAATTGGAATCGGCAAAAATCAAAATGTAACTGGGTCTAGCAAACAGATTGTTGGCCTGCTGTCAGTTCTTATGCAGGGGGTGACAAAGGGACTTAGACTTGGGTTATTGTGGCGTGACGGGTTTTGCTGTACAAAATGTGCAAGTCATTTGCAAGAGACATGTGGGTTGGTCTTTCTTTTTGCAGCAAAACATCTGGCTGTGCCATTGAAATATTGAGTCAACAGAATTTGAATGTTGAATATGAATTTGTACACTGAAAATACAAAATAAAGTGCTGGTGGTGAGCTAAAATACAGTTGCAAGAAAATGTTTGTGAACCCTTTGGAATTACTTGGATTTCTGCATTAATTACTCATACAAATGTGGTCTGATCTTCAACTGAGTCACAATAAAAGACAAACAACCTGCTTAAACTAATAACACACAATTAATGCAGAAATCCAGCTGTATAAA